CAGCCCCCCCAGCAACCACAACAGAGCAAGCAGCACTTCCAGGCAGTCACTATGGCAAACACTGGATGCTGCCATCGCAGCTCGGTTCGGGATCAGTTTTTGCCTAGAAACACACGGATCAAAGCATTTTTTTGTCATACAGGCTAGTTATGGACAAGAATTTTCCTTAAAATAAGATTAAAAGAATATTTTTTCCCTCTGAAGGAAAGCAATGGCAACAAGGGTCTGGCGCATTTGCTCCTCTCTGACCTGCCCGGGGAGATCCAGGCACCCATCTCAGGCTGAGGCTGAGGACAGCACCCTCCTACATGGCTCTTGCAAATGTTTTCATTCAATTAGTTAATTTAGGTGACCCTATGCTTCACTGAGCATTAATTACACCTAATTGTGCCTGGCTGCTGAACGGCAGATAAGCAGCGTTATTTGAATTTTGTAAATTCACGGTCAGGCTGTCTCGCTGGAAATGGCTGGGATGCACAACGCGCCTGTGTTTGCCTTGCACTCCCCTGCTGTGACTCAGGCCCAAACAACTGTCCCAGAGGAGCCATCGGGAGGTTTGTCGCAGTACACAGTATGCAGAGCATAGCATACAAAGGAAGCATGTGCACCGATTTTGCTCCGCTCCACCCTGTCGCCAATACCATGGCGGTCAAACGCTCTGACAAAAACATGCGTAGCGGCTAATTTAGCAACACTCATTTTTCTCCTTCAGGGGAAGAAAAGAAAAAAACACATGGACAGCAGACAGGCAAGAGATTACACAACAAGGTTATAAAATGAAGCATGATTATATTTTATTCTGGCATCCCCATCCATCCCCACAGGTGGAGCACGTGCCCTTGTGCAAAAGCATTTGCTGCCGCATAGAGCAGATGCATCCAGCCAGGGGCTGCCCAGAAGGACAATGGGCAAAGAACCACAATTTCAACGGAAATAGCCATTTGTACCATGATCAGGTTTAGAGAAAAGGCTCGGCGGTGCTTCCTGCCCTCGTTATTGCTGCTCAAAACTAGCAGGGCTCAAGTCAGGAGGGTTTTGCTAACGCGAGCCCACCTGGGCTCCTATTAAGGCTTACCCGGTGAGGTTCAATGCTACCATTTTCTGTTCATACGCAACACAGCTAAATGCTGGTTAAGAACTCCATACGCACAATTATTCCACAGATAAGACCACAATGGAAAAACAATACGAGAGTTGGGACCATAGGGCAACCTGGGTGGGAAAAAACACTTCCGAAGGTACAAGTAGCTGTAACAGCATTTATTGCCACGTCGCCACGCTCACTATAAAATAAAACCCTTTGCCCCCTCTGCCGTAAGTGTACTGTGAATGATAAATCAGCAGCGCAAACTGTCGGAAGAAACCAGTGGGCACCCGGGGGGGCAAAGGTGTCCCCGGGGAGCAGGGGCGTGAAGGGGCTCCCCCTAGCTGCCTCCAGGGG